ACAAGAAGCCTGACTACATCAAGCACATTGACCATAAACTATACACTACTACCGTATATTGCAGGGAGAGTATTTTTTTTTTTTATTCATATTTAAAAAAAGATTCTGAAACAAATTAGATTTTTAATTCTTTATTTAAAAAGAATTTCGCTATTTTTATTACCAGATGTAATAAAAAAAAATTTGTCATGACATACGAGACACATTACGAATCTTGACATAGCACATTTATTAAAATCCGTTTAACAATACCGTTATTAATTGCCGTTACGCTTAGATGTATACACCTTCAAAGGTCAACGAGAGAAGAATTCAAGTATATATTCACAAGAGGCGTAAATGCGGCTGCTGCATGGCGTTTTGTGAGTCATGAATAAAATTGTATAAATAAGTGTTTATATTCAAGAGAGGTTCCCAAAGGGTACCTGGCACCTGTCATGTCGCTTTCTCAGAGAGTTTACAGGAAAAATAATATCCGCTTCTTTCGCGTGGCAATATTTCGTTAGCAAAAATTATGCATATACCGATTCATAATCCGCACTAATAAGCGTTTTTATTACCCAATATCAATAATCTTTAAATCCGAATAGAATTGACAACAATAGATATAAGAGAATCGGTAGCACGTTGATGAATCAAATAATAGAATTAGAAAAAGAAAGTTGGATAAAAAGAAAATTCGTATAAAAGGGGAATGAAAATATAATAAGTCTCTTGGTAAGAGAAAAAGCGTGAGAGAAAAAGAGAGCTAATCGAGCCGCAGCAGGTTGCGCAGAGAAGTATTGGCTGGGCAAAGTGTTTAAGAGCGTTATCTTCCCAGCTATTAGTCTTTCTTGGTGTGTGGCCTCCGGTCTCACAGGTCCTCCTGGTTGGATCTGCTTCGAGAAGAGCACGAGCTCGAAGCAAGGGTTAAGTTAAGTAGCTCCTTATCTTTGCTCACCATCTATCCCCGACCCCTAAAACTGAAATTCACGGCAGAATGAAAAAGGATTCCTCATCCTCTCTCTCTGTTGTGAAGAAAGAGAGAGGACATATACATATATCCTTAAAGGGAGCTGAACTCTCGAAAAGCCAACTTCGATTATTGATTTCTTCTTTTTTCTTATTCCTTATATCCCATCGATATATATTCTCTCCTGGGTCTCTCTTATCTCTTAGATTTCAATGAATATTCCAAGACACCAATTTTTGAAAGACTCACATTTATCAACCTCCAGCGACCGTGTGTCATAACATTTGTCTTTCGACTCATATATAAAAAGAAAAATGGTTTTTAAATTACCGATCGATATAAAAAAAAAAATTCTCACGAAAATTAAGTGAGTCTATAATGAAGAGAGTGAATCGGAAATAAATATAGAATCGGTCTATTGGGAGTTTTGCCCAAGAGTGTTATTGAGGTAATAAACAACCTGGTTATGACAGCTATAAAACTTCTCTAAGAGCCTAACGTGATCATGATGAATATAGCACCTTCACCTACTACGTTTCTTTTCATCCATATTTGTCCGTGCGTGGGTTCCATTAAGGAAACAAGAAAACCAAAACTTATATTGTCAAATCCCATTCACAAGTGATAAGAGAAGATAAAACATCTTAAATCGAAGTTTATTTTAAAACAACAGATCCTTCTCTGAAACGATTGTGAAAAAAAACTATATTTATCATAAATTTTTTGAAACTAAGGAATTTTGTTGAGCCACTGTTTAGAGAGACTATATTTGAAAAAGATAGAAGGCTCATTTGTTTGAGCGCACCTGCAAGAGAAAACTTGTTTTCAAGGAAAACTTTTTGAATCCTTCATTTTTAAATATATATATATATATATATATATATATATATATATGAAAACGTAAGTCCTTCGGACATGAGTCGTCATGGAATTTAAAGAATTTTCGTTGATGGGAAAAAGTGACTCTATATATAACTAGGAAATGGAAGACCACTATCAAACTGTGCAATTTTTTATGGTATCCCCCCGAAGGTATAAGGCAATGCCTTTTTCAACCGTCATACAACTTATTTCGAGTAAATAGAAAAAGAGGGAGAACGATCTCTTTCCAGATTGGACCAAAAACCTTTTTTCCAGAAAATGGAAACCCCAAATATTTGTTCGGATTGATTAGTCGCGCACAACAAATACCAGTCTGTTGCACCCACTGGGGATTTTACATTTGATTTTTAAATACCTTCTTCAGTCCCACATTTTAACGCATCGAAATATTTTCAAAATTTTTCTTTCTTATAATACTCAGAAAAATGTTATTCAAAATTATATTTACAATTTTTCATCTTGTTTATTTGATTTCCCGAGTCGAAATTTAGACTCTCTATAAGTTCTCTAAAAACCTCCTTTTAATCTCTCCAACACTTTCATACCCTCTTTTCGACCTCGAATTTGCAAAAGTGGAAATATCTGCTATATTGGAGGCTGAAAGGAGGGTTTAAAGATGACTAGAGAGGCGTAAAAGAGGTTAAAAAAACAAAAAAAATTTAAAAATTGGATTTTTTTCTTATGGACATTATTTATTGACCCTATTGAAGATATATTTATTGGTCTTTGTCGTAATACTATAAAACTTTTAGGAGGAATAAAACTTGGAAAAATTCAAATTAAGAAAAAATTCCAAGACCTCTTTTCAACCTCTAAACATGCAGATTTGGAAATAATGATTTCAGACTGAAAAGAGGCTGAGAAAATCGAGGGTGAAAAGAGGGAAAAATTTCGACTCGGGTTATTATAAGTATTTGATACCATTATTGAAATTTGTAGAATCATTCAAATTTTAAGATAATATCAAAAAAAAATTTTATTTCCAAATGGGGAAAACAGTTTTTGTACCAATAGTAAAAATTAATCCATACTAATTTTCAGTATACGACTTTAGTACAAAAACAGTTTTCCCCATTATTAATTTTGGAAAAAGAAAAGTTTTTCAATAGTTCTGAGTAATTAATTAATATAAAAAGTTATTGTAGATTTGGATTATTATTAGTACCATAAAAATTCTTTAAGTCAAACTGAAAGTAATAAAGAAAAATAGAAAAATTAAAGAATATAATTGAATAAATTCAAATTAGTGCGGTGTTCAGAAAATGAGAAACGAGCATAAAGATGTGTGGATGACGAAGGTGAGACTAAATTTTAGTTATTTTCAAACGTATTCTGTAAGAATATATTTATTTATTTTTTTTTGAAAAATAGAGGGTGCTTTTCAACACGATTAGGTGTTTCATGGTGTCGCTGTTGTTTTTGCCGTAGCTAATCGCGTATTATTGGAGGCTACAGGTAGTGATTTAATACAGTAGGCAGCAGCCAGCTTTGAGGAGGACCTTTTCCAATGGTGTTGGGGGACAAAGAATAACCACCAAGAATTCTGAAACGGAAGCCTATGCCTTGGCGCCCCTTTTGCTGCCTTCCGGCCCTGCCGAGAACTACAATAGACGCCCTGAAGCTATAATCGTAAACAAACACGATGTTCAAGCGACAATTCTTAGTTTGAACTAAATCTTTTCGAAATAAAAAAAAAGAAAAAAAAAAAAAAAAGAGTCACTGAACAACAAACGTGCCATGTTTTTAGAGGTGTGCCGACACGCTTGTTTTCATCTTGAAAAGTCACATATATTTATATCCTCAAAAGACGTTCCGCTCAAAATTGCATTTTCCGTTTTAAATTTCTCGAGTGTGTTGAATTTTCGAAAGACATGGGATATTCTCAGAAGAACTTTCCAATTTAATGCTCATGTTGTAAAATAGCGACAGATAAAAATCACATTTTTTTTCTCGAAAAAAAAACGGAAGTATAGTTCACGGTCTATTTAACACCATATGTATATGATACTTTTCATTGAAGTTCACATTCTTTTATATATATACATAAAAATTTTATTTCTCTGAAGAATTTATAAGCTATATAAATTCTATATGTCCTCTTGCTTTCTAATACCAAATTCTAATCTAAGTGATGAAATTTCGCTCATTTAGGTTTACTGTAAATTTAAAAAAAAAAAAAAAAAAAAAAATCGAAATTGATTTTAAGTGAACGCGCAAGTATCAACACTTCCGGTCAATCGCCTCGATAGCACCAACGTGTTTCCACTTGGCGAACGATAACCACTCGTTAACGGCGATTAAACGGCCAGCTAAACATCGTGTGTGCGCGAGACGAAACAATCTCGAAGCTGGTGAATGCCGATTAAAATAAACAAGGTGCCATGCCGGTCGCCACTGCGGTCCCATACCACCTAACGTCATCACCGTCACACATCTAAGTCTTTTTTTTTTCTTTCCCCTTACCACACAAGCTGGTCCAGAATATATGCTGTTCTTTTCCCAGAGTTAAATAAGAATTGAATTTGATATTGTGTTTAGACTATATATATATATAACGATCCCTTTGATTTAATTTGTTCTCAGCAAATTTTTATAATGAAGCAAGAAAAATATGTTTCCTTTTGAGGGTGATATTTATATTTTCACAGAGCATCTAAATTTGCAGTAATTTTTTTTAACATTGAGGAAATTTTAGAGGTACTACTCTCTAAATTTGAATCAGCGGAATCTCGCTGATTCTCAGCTATAAGTATACCACTGATTCTAATCAGCTTATATGTACTGATGAATTAGTGGAATTTCACTGATTTTTCAGCTGATTGGTACCAATGGTATACTTATCGCTGATTCAAATTTAGAGAATATATGGGGATTTATATCTGAATTAGTGCCATTTAATGATTTTGTAAACTTTTATTTGTACGTTTTTAGGGTTTCGTGGCCTAGGCCCGAAAGCCTTATAGTTTCGCTTTGGCGCGTCATCCGTACGTCCGTCTTATACTCGTATGGTTTCCATGGTAACAGTTACTATAGCAACCGTAACCATAGCAACCGTTTCAATGACTGTTTTTTTCCTTAGCAACGGTAATATATTAATATTGGCCACGAAACCCTGCGCCTGCTTTTTAGAATTTTGATTGTACTAATTTTTGTTTTCAATTTACAGATGCTGCGATTTGTTGAGGAAAAGGTGCGTTTGTTGCAGAGAGGTTCTTCATGGAGGAGATCTAGCATAGCTGAGCACAATTAAAGGTATGTTGATTATCATTTGAATATTTGGAAATAGTAAAATACTAAAAATGGAAGTTAGATTTTAACTCTAAACGGGATTTTGTAAAAATTGCGCACCTTTTCGAAACAGAAAGAGAAAATGCTAACGGATTTAAAACTGCCTTACGAAACAAAAACTCAGTTTGTCGTAACACCAGAATTGGTGTTAAAAACCCGCAACAAATTTTACCCTATAAATCTGGGTTAAATCTTATGGGTTTTAGCATTGGAGAAAATTACCCGCAACAAAAATAACACCAGCTTTTTTCTGTGTAAGTTTTTGTTTCGTACGGCAGAATAGTTTATACTCATTTTTAGAGTTGATTTTTAATCACAACTCCAGTTGCTATTAACTTCTTCAAAAATTTATAACAATTGTTACGAAAAATTTTGTTTGCAAAATAATTATTACTAAGGGAAATAGCATATATATCTAAAGAAACACAGAAAATTAAAAGGCATTAAAATAAGCTGCAACGCTTATTAATTTAATCCAATTTTGCTTATTTTAATACCAAAATGGATTAAAATAAGCAAAATTGGATTAAAATAATAAGCGTTGCAGCTTATTTTAATGCCTTTTAATTTTCTGTGAATGTAATTAAAATTTTTGAAAATAAACATTATCAACGTGCATGCATCGAATATATGAATAAACGGAAAGGGGTTGAAAAAATGGTTGCGCGCGGTGCAACTCATAAAGCAAAGCAATCGGATTGAATGTGTGTGGCGCCCTGGGCATTCGATAATTTGGTGATTTTCGATGTTATTTATGATCTTGAATAACCGCTATTCGCGCACACTGGAATCGTGTGCAATCTTATAAGAAGAGTTGAACTCGCGCGGCGTGAGAGATGCCAACTTGGAACTGGGGATCTTCATAAGGCATAGGAGGAACGAGTACTTTCCTTCCCTTAGGGTATATATATACTAATAGCCAGTATTCATATATGCACATTCATACACTTGAAAGAGTAAAAGGTGTGTGAGAAGGTCGGCAAAATTCACACCTTTGGAAAGAATCTTTCGTCTCTCTCTTTCTCTCGCTTTGAATCTTCTTTTTCTTTTTATCTTCTTCTTCTTCGTTTTCTTCTTATTTTCATGAATCTCCACTTGTTCCTTCTTTATTCTCACTTTGCTCGGTTCGTTAACGCAATATGCACCAGGCTATTTTACAAGACTCTTTCAATGCTATTTTCTCTTTTGATATCGGCAAAATGGCAATAAAAGGGAAAACAAAGATGATTAGGGTCGTAGGCCAAGCCATCTTGCAGGTTGATCATGACCATGCAGTCAAGATAAAATAAATGATTATTTTTAATATAGTGATTTTGACCAGAAGCCGTCTAAAATTAAATGTCCTTCACATATATATTTGATTATTATTCTCTATGATGCTCATCATCATTATCATCGTCTCTCTCGGTTTTCTCCCATAATAAAAGTTGGAAAGAATCTTCCTACAAAATTTTATTCTTTTATATCAATTCATATTTTCATTTTAGATTTTTATTATAAAAAAAATGTTCAAGTGTACAGGTGTGTGTCTAAGGTAGAATGATATACAAGAAAATCATTAGTAGCCATTGTAAGAGCAAGAAGTTAAATTAATTATTGTCGTCCCGGTGAAATGATGGGAACCCGGTGGCATGGCATTCCAAAACGTCCGCGGGCCGCGAGCCAATGACGTTTTAAATTAGAAGGATAAATAAAGGGTTCGAGTTCTTCGCGGGGTTGTTTTTCAACGCGCGTGTTCCCCCCCATTATGGCATCGTCGCGGAATCTCATCCATGGCTCCGCCGGGGGTTTTTTTTTTTCACGAGAGTGTTTCGAAAGTTTGTGTGTCCTTCGAATTTCTCAAGGACTGCATTTGAAAATATTTTGCGAACAATTATTATTATTATTATTTTAGAAAACAATTTTTTTGCGTAGAAAAGTGAAAAGAAAAAGGATTAGAGTGAAATAATGAAGAGGAGTCGAAGAATTCATAAAGGACGATAGGTGCCGCCCCATTAATTAGGCCTCTTCTCACGTCTCAACCCTTTGCTCATATATGTATCAAGGGCGCAGCCATTCACAGCTTACGAAATATCTTTTTTTTTCACTCATCGCCATATATTCTCATTGCATAGTTTGCCAATGATTCCTCGAAATCCGCACTGACCAATTATTTGTTCACGGATCGTAAAAGGAATTTAATTACGCATCATGACGATAATTGTCCTGTTAGCTCGTATACAAAATGTATTATACACAGCAGCTGTTCCCCTCTCTAACATTGTTTAAACCCCTTCGAAAAAAATTATTCCTCTCTCATTTAAAAAAGAAATAAATACTTTTATAATTTTGAAAACATTTTTAATTGAAAAAAATTGGCGATTTAAAAATTATTCAATATAAAATTACTTTAGAAGATCCAGATGAGATGAGATATATCCAAATGTTTTAAGATATATAAAAATATTTGCAAAACATATAAAGAATGTAGAAAAGAAAAATGCACACGTGTGGTCCTGTTTGTCAGTAAATCACACGCGTGCCTAGGTTGTAAAACGAAGGTATGGCTTTATAATTGAATTTCATCTCCGCGCGGTAAAAGCAAAATATACGGTGAATCAAACGCTAGGATAGGACACGTGTTTGTAAAATTCACCCTCGTCGAAACGCCGGCATTTCAATTGCCCGCGATGAGACCAGGAAGATTTGTCATTCCCTCCTCTCTCTCTTCAGAATTATATATAATAACAATACACTTCTTTTGATCGTAATGTCCCCGCGTGGATAAATATTTGTTCACCTTTAGATTTCATATGCTGTATAAATTTGTCTCTGAAAGACGAAAAAAATCAACCTGTCAAATAAATTATCGCCAAGAAAGCATTCTAAGAAATGCCCTTCTGTTAGATTTTTTTTTTTTTTTTTTTGAAATAACGTGTGTGAAACTACTATTGTTGAGACTTTCTAAATAACATAATTCGGTTAGGAGAAATTAAGGCAAAGTCAAATAATTGCCGCGGCATAAGGAATATATATAAAAGAAAAAAATCGAAAAATAGAGAGACAATAGCATGTCTGGAATGAAAATTTTGTAATTATATTTTGAGATATACATATATATAGAACAAAAAGGGGGATTGTCTTTGCAAAAAGATACACGCCAGGGAGCTATTGTTATCGGACTATGGAAATTAATTGAATGTATTTGAATAAACGCGTTGTTCGCTGCTTGTTCCTATATATATATACTATATGCCCACCTACGCAGTACACGTAAGATCTCTACTCTCGCAGATGCGCGATCACTCTCGCGTATCATTTCATATATATTCATTCAGGACAATAATCAACGTTCACTGATCCCAAATACTTATAATTTAAAATGATTGATCGAAAGGCGAGATACGTGCGAGAAAACAGTAATCACAACACCTGACAAATTATATACATATCCCTTATAAATAAAAACGGAAAATTAATTTTTTTTCTTGTAATGTAAAGGTTTTTTTAAAAATTAATTATAACAAAATATTTTTTTGTTCATTACGTTCGGCATTAGAGAAAAAATACATTTTTTTTGTAAAGTAAAAATATTAAAAGAAAAAACAGAATTATTTATAGTTGATCAGCATTTGTGTTTGCCAATACATGACATCGGGCAATCATTCGATAATAATTACATTACTAGTCCCGTCCCTCTTAACAAGGCGGTTCTCATGTTCGACAGAGAAATCAGTAGTTCATCTGTCACTGTAATGTCATTTTTAACAGGTGACAAACAACATATTTGAAGGTCGTCGATATAATAAATTGATTTCTCTATTTTCACACTACACTGTAAATCGAAAGGTATTAATTTAATACCGACTTTGGGTATATACTAAATTGTCATTTGGTTCTATTTTGATACCTCAAATCGGTACTATTTTAGTACCTTCTTTTTACAGTGTATTTTTTATATATAGCTCCTTTATAGTAAATCTCAATATTAATTCTCCTGATGGACACATTTGACTTATTTTTCATGAAGAGAAAAAGGGAAAGTAATTTTTTCAGCCTACCGTTTTAGGGCACTAAAATTGGATGCAAATATTAACCAGAAGGAATGTGTATCGAACACGTTTCTTGGGACCATATAATAATGCATTGTAACATAAACGACATTGTATTCTCATATATATACGTACTCGCCTTTCTACAATGCACAATGGAATCCATTAAAAGAATTATTTATTTATTAAAAATCGATCTTATTCAAATAATACACCAGCGAGTATTAATTATATGTAAATTTAATTTAGGATTCCGAATAGTTTTAATTATTAATATAGCAAGAAAATTTATTTCTGTACATGAAATACACACACAGACAACGATTCTGCGAAAGCTGACGCGAGTATAAATAATGGTTTACTCGAGATAAGGAGGAAATAAATTATTTAAAATTTGCGGGGGATGTGTATGTGTGTAAAAAATAAAAGAAGCAAAAAAGAAGAAAAGTCGTATAACGATCGTTTCCCACGTCAGTCATCGTCGACCTCAAACTATGGTCATCGGATCCCCTCTGTTAGGTCGCCCCAAAGGCAGGAAGTGGTCGCGAAGATCACTTTACAAGAACTGTATCCACAATTGCAACACTTTCTGTGTTTTAAATTTTAAAAAATTTATTTATTTTTCGACTTTTATCTTTTGGATAAGATATAGAAAAAAAAATTAATTTTTGTCTGGGGAGGAAAATTTTAGAGAACAAAAGGCAAAGCCGCGGGATAACAGCGCTTTTGCAAAGATAAGAAATTTTTTTTTTTTTCATCGATACTCCTCGCGCGCACACACAGTTGCCGTGAGGGTGAAGGCAAAGGAAGGTGCATAAGAGACGATGCGGGCTCTCTCGTGAAGCCGCCATGACGTTCCTTTGACCCGTTTGACCCCGTGCGCACTTCTTACCATGCATTATGGCGGCTCTCCAAGAGAGGCCCTCTCGGCCC